GTTCTCTTGCTTCTAGCCACAGGGCGCGGAGCCTGTCCTCCATTGACGCTTTTGGTGTTAAAACCCTAGCGTATGAGAGTTTATTTTTGGGACAAATTTTGAAAAGCAGCCAATTTTCAAAAATAATTGTAAAAAACGATCCTCTTCGAAACTTATTTGTCAAAAGCAGCCCAGTTTTAGCCAGTTAATAATTGTAAAAAAAATACCTTTTTGAAACTTATTTACCAAAATAGTTGGCTGAAACTGAGTTGTTTTTGGCAAAAAAAATACCAAACTTCACGGGACTTGAAGTCCCGTGAAGTTTAAACCCTAGCATATGAGGGTTTATGTTTGGGACAAACTTTGAAAATCAACCCATTTTAAAAAATAATTGTAAAAAAGGACATCTTCGAAACGTATTTGCCAAAAGCAGCCCAGTTTCAGCTAGTTAATAATTGTAAAAAACGACATCTTTGAAACTTATTTGCCAAAAGAGTTGGCTGAAACTTGGATCGTTTTTTGGCCAAAAAAATACCAAACTTCATGGGACTTGAAGTCCTGTGAAGTTTTGTTATGTAAAAAACTTCACGGGACTTTAAGTTCCGTGAAGTTTGGTATTTTTTTTCGCCAAAAACAAGCCAGTGTTTACCAGTTGGCTAAAACTGTGTCGTTTTTGACAAATAAGTTTCAAATAGGTCGTTTTTTATGAATAAGTTTGGATTTATTTTTGTTTGGGGGTACAACTTTTCTTTCCTTCTGTGCGTTCTTATGCCCATATTTTCAGTATACGAAATGTGATGATAATAGAATATCAACTACAGGATATCAGGATCATCTCGTGCTCATCTACTCTCGTCTAAAATTCTAAGGAGCTTAATTATAAAGAAACACCTCGTGTGTAATTAATTGAATCGCTAGCTAAAAATAGAATGAAAATTGTCAAGAACATACATGGCAGGGCGATATTCGGTCATATAACATGGTCACGTCACGTTTTAGGGGAAACTACCCTTGGTTTGTACTGTATACTTAGCGATGAGGACTAATTGGTGCAACAAGAAAAACACCATTTAGTCAGAACACTAGTCTTTCAAACGGTCTTGTTAGGGGACGGCCGTTGATGCATTAACTACTGAATGTTCAGAGATCCATAAACAATTTAGCACGTAGGATGTTCAGAAGAATCAAAAGAAAGCAATTATTGAAAAGATTATTAAAGAGAATATAATGAAATCAATCACAGGTTTGGAGCGTTTCAGATTTATTTTATTCCCAATTTAAAGATCAAACGAAGATTAGGTTTGTATTGCAAATTTCAATAGGCAGAAAAATGCTCAAAATCTTATCAGGAAAACAAAAAAGTTCTTCCTTGCTTCAAACTTCGAAGAGCAAGGCCAACGTCCATGCACCCTCCTCATAAAACAATCACATTCACAGACTCTGTTCCTGGTGCATTACAAAATTCTGTAATATTTCTGAGGGCTGGCCTCAAAGCCAAACTTGTCTCAGAAACTAAGCACTTCAAACTACCTAAACTATGAGTCAGTTCTCTAATACAATGGGTCATGACCAACGAACTTCGGACTAGGACTCTGTCATCTTCTCTGTATTTCCCAAATGGCATCAAAATTTCTGACCTGGGCAGCAATGTTTCAGATCCTCAAGGTATGTTCAAGGAGTAACTTGGTCAGCTCAATATGCCAATCATTTGTTTGGATTTCACAAAACTCTATGATCCAACACAGAACACTAACTTGTGGGAGCAGGCTCAGAAAAGCATAACCGGATCCTGTTGGGTAATGGCCTTGCTATCAGCCCTTCGTCAGTAAGCCATCCATTTTGTAATCCGTCTCGTTTGATATGGATGAATTCCCTCTGCACATAGTCTAGGGATATTTGCAGTCTTCCGCCAGGTTTGCACTCATCAGAAATGCTTCTTGGTTCTATTCCCACATATTTCTCCAGCCAGTAAAGATAGTTAATGTGAAACAGAGATTTCAGCATGTCTTGAGGTGAACAGCCTTCACGAAGTACCACCTACAAAAGGAATTGATAGTTCGAAATACAACACAAAAATGATAATGATCCCTCCAAAGTTATGCAACTTACACAAAACCTTCCTTTGTTCTCGATAATCATATACTCTTCATCTTTGAACAGGTCAAAAAGTGCATATGCGTCCTCTTTGTTTTTCACAACTTTGCTGAGTTTATATCCCAATTGCAAGCGACGAGATATCTCAGCAGCTGCATTTCTGGCTTCCACAGATAGTGAACCAGATGCTTCCTCCTGAACAGCCTTCCATATGGCAAGATTAGGTTCAGAGGGATTAGAAACTAGATGTATGGTAGAAATTCATGAGAAAAAAACTTCACAAAGTAAAGATAATTGCTTTTTGACTCTGCCTATGAAGAACACAAACACAACCAAGAAACTAAATCTTCCTTGAACAGCATTGATCACACCATATTGGCAAAATAGTGATCAGGTTCGAATCACTTATATTTGAAGGATTCAAGGTCAGTCTGATGCAAGTTATATTTAGTAGTATTAATAATATTACCATGATGATTACGAATTGTGTTTCCCTTATTTGAGGAAGAGCAAGGTTACACGTAACAGAATGAAAAAAAAAAGGAAATTGAATAAACAAAAATTTGACCGCAGCAGCATTAAAGTTGTTTAAAATGATTGCTTAGACATAAAATAGGCAGCTAATGTGATGAGATGAAGTTAGTGACGTCAGATTTGAACCTTTGACTGCCTTAATCTCAAATATTAATTTATCATTTAAAAATAGACATAAGTCCTCAAACGCATAGTTCCACACACTTCATTAGAAGGAAACAATTATGAGGCAAGTGCCAGCATAAATATAAACTGACGGTAGACTATTGATGGGGAAAAAAAGTAATAATATGTGAAAATAGAAATGTTCACATTTATGTTTAATCTAGCAAGTAGCTTTGGTAGTATGGAAGACTGGAAGAGTTCAATAGTCAATAGAAATAAAAGTACATACATAAGGTTCCTGAATCCTGATACAGATATTACCCTCACATACAATACAACAAATAAACTTGAATAACAGCAGTTCCCAAGACAAACTACATGAATGGTTAAGCAAGGCCAAAAAACTTCACTTACTGTATATGCATCTATGTCAACAAAAGGCAGGCTTGGAAAAAGCGGTTCCTCATCATTGACCTCCTTTATCTGAGGAACTTGACCGCTCAACAGATATTCACTAAAAACCAAACCTGTCGCGCATTAGAAAGGAATAAACATGGTCAAACTAAGAAAATCGAAATTAAATGGTGAAAGAAAAGGTCTACATGGAATTATGTGAGAGGTTAAATTGTGCTAAGTACACTGCTAATTGCTCCATCAATGCACGGTCATATAGACATAACAAATAGGTTCGCATAGCTATAAGGGGGAAGCCAAATTACATGGTCACAGGATGAACTATATACATGAATTAAGGGATTTCTCAACTGCACTTATTTGTCTGTTCATATCCAATAAACTGAAATGGGAAAGGAAATTCACAATACTGGCAGACATTTTTAAGAAAAGACATTTATTACCCAGAAGGTTTAAGGTTTACAATTTGCTGATTAATAGCAAGTGAAATGACACGAGGAGCAAGTAAATCATGAATGATAAGACGAGTCCATATTTATTTGAAGAGTGTAATTTAATCTGCAGCAACAGTGGAGATTCTTTGCATCATTCTCAAATAGATGTTAAAGCCTACAATGTCAGGAAAGAAACAAGTCTTTAAAAAGTGATGAAAGAATGCCTTTCCTAGGGTGACGTACCACATCTACATCCTCAGTGCAGCAAGTTGGCACTTAAGAGTTTAAATGTTGGAAAAAAAATGTTTCATCCCAAATGAGAACGTCACAACTTTACAACGCATAAAAATAATGTTAGTCGAAAAGAAGAATTTGATATCAATCTAAGAATGAGCTTCTATTCAAGATATTCTGCAATTTCACTAGTAAGAACCATGAGTCATGATGATAAGGGTGAATGAAAGATGGTGAGGCAAAATATTACTTGCACGGTACGGGTTCAGAGTCCTCAGTTGAATAGACTGATATGATTTAAGATTGCAGTACATGTGAAATCCCATCACAACACTGAATGAAGCAAGAGCCAATGGAGTTGAGGAGCCAATGTAATTAGCCAAGGCTATGCCAAGCATGATACCAAAAAACTTGCTCACCATTCCTTGAGCTTCACCTTTAGCAATTACCTGCGAAATAAAACCATAATCAAAAAAAATATTTTATCAAATAACTAAGCATGCATGCAACATATACATCCGGACATAAAGCCACTGAAATATCGAACCATTCCTTACAATAAGAATTGATACTATTAGGTAAATTTTCAGCATGAAATGACTCCTTGCTCTTGGCTCTTAGGAATGGCTGACATGATAATGACCCAGGATATAAGCTCTGGATTCTATAAATATCCTACCTCTGCAGAATTCCTCTGCACAGCAAAACCTGCATAAAAACAGCTTCTTGTAGCAGCCTGTCACGAAATAGAAAGGGTTCCATTTTAGAGGAGGATTAGTTTAAGAGCTGAAATAGATAATGGAAAGGCAAAAATTATTTTTTAAATTAGAAAACAATAATAACCAAAAAGATGAAATGCAAAGTGTATATCTTGTCACCTAACAAATTTGGTATACCTATTGAGATGAATAAAGCTTTAAAACAAGAGAATAAGAAGACAAAGAACTATACTGAACCATGAACTTCATATATTCAGTGCTGAAAGATCAGATAAATTAATAAGCATTGAACCATGAAGATCTTACTATTCTATCATCAATACAGGATAAGAATAAACAACAAAGTCATGAAAAAAGAGGAAGATAAATCCTAACTCATTGACCAGGATGTGCAGGTGTGAACGCCATGTTTTGGTAGTTGTAGACATCAGTTTTGGTCTCTCATTTCTCTCCACTAAGGACTAAACTTCTCTTTCCTTATTCAATCCATTATCACAAACTTACTGAAAATAATATCAGATTCTAGTAATTTTCATCCTTTATTTTTTATGTTGCTACATTTCAATTTCCTTTTTTCTTTTTATTTGTGTGTGCGCGCGCGCGCCCGTGTGTATGGATGACAAAAAAACAAGGGATATAGCCCCAATAGTATTTAAAATTCTGAAGGTCTAATTCCAAGGCACACTCGTGCGAAAGGATAGTCAAGAACCTTCTTTTCTGATCAACAGATTATGGACTAATTACATTTACATCTCCCACATTTTTACCCCACATTCAAAAGAATACGAATTTCCACAAAATATATATTCCTCTATTTCAAATCTAACCTTGAAGTTCCTTTTCTTCATCATACGCGGTAGAGTGACATTGTCAACAATATAGCTTTTGAAAGTAGTGACGACAATAGATTTCGAAGGTAGTGATGAGAACCAATTGCTAAAAGAGGAGATTGAATTCTGTTGGCTGATTTTAAGATGCATGAACATGACTTCAGCTCAGGCTAAAGTTTGCTTCTTGTTGATATTCTAGCTGTTCTTAACTACCATTCTTTTATTGGTTTCCATAGGAGCCTTGTTGAGAGTGATCAACCAGAATCCTTCCGCAGGTTCATTGAAAGCCAAAAGACTGGTGTCCCATGTAAAGAATACTTGCACCGCTTGCACAGTCTACCATGAAATACTTCTTATTTAACATTCCACTAGGGGAGATGCACGTGTACTTCATGTGGTTAAGTATTATGGTTGTTTGGTTTATTTTTTAATATAACTTGGTTGTGAAATTATTTCTTTTAAATCTCTACTTGATGATGTAATATTGTCTATGAACTTTCTTAAGACTTGCGTTTATGTATGTTCAACTTTCATGTTATATGTTGATGTGACCATAAGCAGTGCAAGCAGCAAATCATTCGAAAAGATTAGTCACTCACATAGGAACTAGTTTTTTCAATGCTTCAAATCTAACAATAACAGATGACATAAAATTCTTTATGAAGTAAAAAAGAAGAGGAAAAATTCTTCTATTTTAATCCGTAATGACTTTAGAATAAGAAAATCTGTCAACATTTAATAAAAATCTCTCCATAAGCTTGCAAACATAACTGCATTCAACTATTAGGTTGCTCAATTCTTATTATTTTAAAGTTAATTCATCAAATCTTTGAAAAAGCTATTAAATCCCCGATTCTTAAGTTATTTTTATTTTAGCCCCTCCAATCAAGAGTAAAAAAAGCAATTAGAGGGAAATTAGTTCCTTAAATTGCTAGTTATACCATTGATCTAAAGGACTAATTTCAAAATAAGTGAAGAATTGAGTTACCTAATAATAATTTCAATGCATTAACGGACTAATTTCAAAATATGAAAGGTTTAAGGGACTAATATAAAAAATATTTTAATCTATCAATTATTGTTAAATAATTAAGTAATTCCATAATTTGGTATCAATCCATTAGTTAATATTTAAACGTGCAATGCATATTAGGTTTACAATATTAATGTCCTCTAAGCTTCTTTCCATTCTTTAGTTGTCAACTAATTCTAATTAGATCAATTTTTTATTAATTAGTTTTGAATTAAGGGATCTTTATTTCGAGAGCTTAATTTTGACTCAATAGTCACTTCAAGTGAACCACAATGACATAATCTTACCGAATGAGGTATGTATGTCCTATCTTTTCTTCTTCTTCTTCTTCCTTTTTTTTAATTTGGTGTGGAGAGAGAGAACTGTATGTATAACTATAATATATGTCTCAAATATAAACATAACTATTGGGAAATTCATTTCCCAAAATTTCACAAGTATACATGTATAAACTTAAAGCAGCAGAACTTAAATTTTCTTCAACAGAACAACTGTGATAGCAGAATGAAAGTAATTATATTACTTTTTCTGTGAACTGTATGGAATTTAAGCGGACAATTATCATTAGCAGATAAGACCCTCGAGTGTAGCAATCCAACATGGATAGGAAGTCCTTGACATGCTAGAAACCTGGACATGCCTATATTGGTCTAATAAAAGATAGCTTAGTAAAAGTAATCAAATAAACCATGTACATGGATTTCAAATCATTTTGCAACAAAAGAAACATAAAAAATTTGCACGAGTCCGCTAGGATGTTAATTCTATTATCACACAGAAACAACCATTTATGCATGTCAAATTTGCATCAGTCCTCCCGGGGTGTTACTTTTATTATCACACAGAACTAAGCAATCAAACCAAAGTTAGAGAAAATGCTAGACAGCCTAGATGTTGGACCCGATGGCTAGAGCCTAGATGCCTATGCGGGGGCCAAGACGAGGCCTAGGCATTGTCCTATTTTTTTACTTTTTAATTATAATAATTAATAATAAATGTCACATAGAAAGCGTAGGCACCAGATTTGCACCTAAATAAATTTTTTTTCTTCATTTAAGTGGTGGTGGTCGCTTAGCGGCAGTGTAGGTTTTGCAAAGGTCGGAGAAGGTAGAGGAGGTGTTTATAGTTGGAGGCTGAAGGAGTTTCAAGGAGGTTGGAGGAGGTGGAGGCTGCAATGAAGAAAATCACAATCAAGACTTAGAAGGTATAGTCCACATAAGCGGCTCACGCTCTCCTAAGTGATCCCAAAATCTAGGTGGGTAGCCTAGGTACCACCTAGGACCAGGCGCTATGCCGACGGCCTAGGTACCACCTAGGCAGGTAAGGTATGGGCTTTTTAATACAGTGCCATGCAAACTGATATTGCATGTCGAAGAGGTCTTTTCTTAAGCATGTAAAGTTATAAATCATGTGTACTTTTAGCAACCTTTTCATGATATACATGTCTACGTTTAGAAAAAAATGTAAAAGATGAGAAATTGCATTTGTCTATTAAATTTCAAAAGGGAGGTGTAGGTAAACTTCATAAAAATGCTTGAAAACATATAAGAAAGAAAGAAAAAAATTTCAAGAAGTGTAGATAGGTATGTAAATTTAGAAAAGTACCTGTATCAATATAGACGCTGAACGACCAGCCCCAGCAACTGCACCAATCAAAACAAATAATTGAGGAAAAGCAGGAGTAATAATCTCCATCCCATATGCTGCATTTTCCAATAAATCTGCAAACAATCTCCAACCCTTAGGATTAACATCAAAATGACGACCAAAGTTTGACAACAATATTTTGCTAAGGTATCCTATGCCATCCTTAAGCACCCAGTTGACAGCAGCTGCAGTAGGAATTGCACCTTTCCCCAACCCAACTGCATAAAGTAATGACTGCGAAGAACATCATGAACGTATTATGAATATGATAGGTCATAATTTTAGAAAACATTAAATCATCAAGTAAAAAATGGAATTAAAGTATTAATTGACAACTTCAATCCTAACATTAAGCATAAATGAATATACTAGAGAGCTAGTTGCTAATCTTCAGCAAGCGCCATCAGGCCCATCACTGACATTCAAGTAGATTGGAAAGAATTAAGAAGGATATATAGTGATTAACTTAGTGGAGTGGAAAACCCTAAAAGAATTCAATGGAAGAATATTATTCATGTATTCAACCCCAAAAATATGAGATGAAAGTTTTACTCTCGTTGTACTCAAACTTGAATTTTTTATGGTCGGTTAAAAGCATCATTGATACGTTCTTTGACAAATTTCTTCACTCTAGCAAGACTAAGGTAGTCATTCTCTCTGGAAATCTCATGGGTTCACTAATTTATCATAGCAACATGTAAAGTTCTACTTTTTTTGTATTCAAACTTGAACTTTTTATGGTAAGTTAAAGAATAATTGATACATTCTTTGTCAAATATCTCCACTCTAGCAAGACTACGCGTTCTCTCTGAAAAATTTCATGGGTTCACCAATTTATCATAGTTATTGATATAAATGAATAATGGAGAATTTATATAGACGGCTATCATTTATATGGTTAAATTCCATAGATGAAAATTAAAAGGTGTTTAATTAATAGTATGTGAGTTTTAGTCTCACATTGACTAATTAAATACAGTTTAAATGATTTAAACTAACATAAGTGATATATATGGTTTAACAAAAGTGTTAGGAATATACACTTGTGTTGGTATGCAAACGAGCATGCCAGCAAGCGTGCGAGAACGAGCGTGCGAGAACGAGCGCATGGTCTGTGTGCGTAGGCAATGTGCACTGTCCATGTGCGTGGTTCAGCGCGTGCCCTTTTTGCATATGCTGCATTTAACTAGTGTGAACATTTCGTATGTTACGAACGTTACAAGGTTTGAATGATAGTTATAGCAAACGTTACAAATATTGCAATAACTGGCATTCAAAGCCTTGTCTAACCCCTCAGCTCACCTGAGCCCTATATAAAGGGTCTCCTCTATTCAATTGAGTAATACCAAAAAAATAGAAACTTCTCGTCTTCCTTTTACAATTTTGTAAGCTGCTAGTATTGAAGATTCTGACGAAGTAAAGTTACAGTCGAGGTGTTCAACAAAAGAGAGCACTTCTTTAGACGACTGTCGTCTCATCCTCGAAAGTATTATTCAAACCCAACGCTACCGCAAGTGGGCCATAATTTCTTCAATGCTAGTTCTTCATTTAGAGGGTGATTCAGCATTTCTGTAAAGTATTTCAGCTCTAAATTTATCAGTTATGGCATTTTTAACTTTTTGCTCTATTTCTTTATTCCTGCGTGGTTTGTTCTGCTTATGTCTGGATCTATTTTTAATCTTATTTTTCCCAATAATAGCAACATGTCAGAAACTAATCACAAAGTTAAAAATAAATGTGACATTACAATGGCACAAGAATGGCATATACATGTGGAATCTAGGTGAAATCTAATAGTCGACCAGGTTCCTTACATGTCATATTTCTCTTAGTTAACTTAATATAGTTCAATAATATAGTTATGATGTCTGCACATTAGGACAGATGGCCTATCAAGTTTCTTATACTAGTAGGAAGAAACAAGTATCATGAAGTACATAGAACTTGTCAGGAATGACTTTGATGTGCTCTCTCTAGAGTTTGGTGTTGGAAAATAGTCTTTTGGAGGTGAATGAAAATTGTCTCCCTAAGCACAAGTGAAGTCCAGCCAATGGTGTTAGAAGCCCATGTGTGCAAAACAAAGAAAAACAAGTTTTGGGCCCAATCCATTAGGGGTTTAGACTTGGTCATTTGTTTCTGAACGTGCTGGAGAAAGATCAGCAGGGAGTTGCTGGATTTTTCAAACTCAGGTCAGTTATTTGTTGAACATGCTTGAGTTTTTATGGGAGAAAAATTAGCAAGAAGTTGCTAAATTTTCAAATTCAGGCTTCATGCTAATTTCCAACAATACCCTTGCATTCTTTTGAGTGTGTTCTCAAGTTTGGTTCGACGTTGCGGAAAAGTTGTGCTGCTTACTTCACTTTGGCTTGTTGTATCCTGGGAGGCAGTTCCGACGCGTTCCTCGAGCGCCCCGAATGCTGGAAATCTACTTTAAGGTCTGTCATTGACAGGCCTCAAGCTTCCATCTAGTTTGGTTTCTTTCTTGTCTCAATTTTTGCCCTACTATCCTATTAAATTGAACTTGCCTTTTTAATTTGCTTTCTCTATTTATTTCTTTTTCTTATCCCTTTATGTTGTATGGATAATATGTATCTTTCCTGAAATTGCTTTTAATGTCTCTGTCGTATGTCTTGTTTTCAATCTTTATTTTGCATGTTATAGTATTCTAGCTAATATCAAACTTTTGTAGGCTTTGTACACTGTAATATTATTGAGTCATTTTTTTCTTTGTAAGGATAGTCTTGGACCTTTCTCTGTGCCTGCGTTGTTAACCATATATATATCTTTGCTGTTGTCATAGCTTTTTAGTAACATTTGATTTTTGCACGGTTGATGTCAACATTAATTTTATAATCATGGTGAAATATTATTCCTTTGTGTGATATATTTTCTTATATTTTCTTTTAGTAATAATTTCTAATCCCTGTCATTTTTCAACAATCTTAAAGCAGATTTTCCTTTTAACTAATTACTATGGCTTCAACCAAAGACGAAATGATTAAGGCTGTCGAGGGTAATATGGCTGCCGACGGTTCTGCCACTGCCCAACTTGTTGTTTCAAAAATGTCGATTGCGGTCAATGGACCAACGGTTTCCGTCACTCATAGTGAGAAACCGGAAAAGTTCAATGGCATGAACTTTAAACGGTGGCAATAGAAGATGTTGTTCTACCTAACAACCTTGGGCCTTGCGAGGTTCTTGACGAAGAATGCTCCTGTGTTGCGTGAGGGAGAAACTGATGCGCAAACTATCAACGCTATTGAGGCTTGGAAGCAATCCGACTTTCTATGCAAGAACTATATAATGAATAGCTTGCATGATTCATTGTACGGGGTGTATGCTACTTTCAAGACTACCAAGCAGTTGTGGGAATCACTGGACCGAAAGTACAAAACCGAAGATGCCGGTACAAAGAAATTCATGGTCGGTTCCTAGACTACAAGATGGTGGATTCCAAATCCGTCATCTCTCAAGTCCAAGAGCTGCAAGTGATTCTGCGCGAGATTCAAGCCGAAGGGATGGTACTGAGTGAGACCTTCCAAGTAGCTGCTATGATCGAGAAGCTACCCCCTGCATGGAAGGATTTTAAAAACTATCTCAAACACAAGCGCAAGGAGATGACAATGGAGGATCTAATTATGAAGCTCCGAATTGAGGAGAACCACCGATCTGAGGGAAAGACATCTGAGCATGACTGCCAAGGCTAATGTGGTGGAGCATGGTAAAAGTTTCAAAACCAAAGGAAAGAAAGTAGTTGCAAGGGCTGCAAACCCGAAACTGGGAACCAAAGGAGGAATCTCCAAGAAGAAATTTAGGGGCAAGTGCTTCAATTGTGGCAAGATGGGCCACAAATCGACCGAATTGTAGGCTTCCAAAGAGGAAAGAGGTCAACATGACTGAGGATAGTTAAGGATGATCTCGAACTCATGGCTGTGATATATGAGGTCAACATGATGGGATCCAACCCAAAAGAATGATGGATTGACACAGGTGCTACAAGGCACGTCTGCACCAACAGAAACCTGTTCACCTCCTTCACTACAATTAAAGGTGAGAAGATATTCATGGGAAACTCTACCTCATCTTCCATCGAGGGGCAAGGGAAGGTTATGCTGAAAATGACATACGACAAAGTCGTGACCCTGACTAATATGCTGTATGTGCCGAATATTCACAAAAATCTGGTGTCTGGGTCTCTGCTCATCAAACATGGCTTCCGCAAGGTGTTCGAATCTGATAAAATGACTCTTACCAAAAATGGGGTGTATGTGGCAAGAGGGTATGCCACAAATGGGCTTTTTAAGTTTAATGTAATGATTGTGAAACAGAAGATTAATGAAAATACATCTTCCGTTTACTTGATTGAGTCATCTGATTTATGGCATGGTAAGCTTGGTCATGTTAATTATGAAACAATGCATAGACTAATTAACTTAGATCATATTCTCTCTTTCCAAATTAATTTCAAACACAAATGTGAATTATGTGTGGAAGCAACACTAACGAGATCATCCTTCCAAACAATTGAAAGGAACTCTCAACCCCTCGAATTGATTCATAGTGATGTTTGCGATTTAAAGTTTGTGCAAACAAGGAGTGGTAATAAATATTTTATTACCTTTATTGATGATTGCACAAAATAATATTATGTGCACTTGCTAAAGAGCAAAGATGAAGCCTTATAGAAATTTATTCTCTTTAAGAAAGAAGTTGAAAGTCAGCTTAATAAGAGAATAAAAAGATTAAGAAGTGATAGAGGTGGAGAATATGAAACACCAATTGGTGATTTCTGTGCTCAGCATGGAATCATACATGAAGTAACTTCACCCTATTCACCTCAATCAAATGGTGCTGCTGAACGCAAAAATCGCACATTAAAAAAAATGATGAATGTGATGCTTATAAGCTCTGGGCTACCTCAAAATATGTGGGGTGAAGCTATTTTGACAAGCAATTACCTTTTAAATAGGGTAACCCGAAAGAAACAATATAAAACTCCTTGTGAGCTATGGAAGGGCAGGAAACCATCCTACAAATACTTACGATTGTGGGGGTGTCTTGCCAAAGTAGCAACTCCAACACCAAAGAAAATAAAGATAGGTCCTAAAACGATGGACTGTATCTTTATAGGCTATGCACATAACAGCAACACGTATCGGTTCCTTGTGCATGATTCGGAAAATTCGGATATACACAAGAATACGATAATGGAATCAAGGAATGCATCTTTCTTTGAAAATGTATTTCCTTGCAAATCCATTCATGAAGCAAGCACTTCAAAGCGAACATATGATATTATGAATCAAGATGAGAGTCAAGATTTGGCTTAAGAAAATAAACCGAAATACAGTAAAAAAGTAAGAGTAGAAAAATCATTTGGAGATGATTTTCTAACTTATTTGCTAGAAAAGTATCCTCAAACTTATACTGAGGCCGTGAATTCTTCCGACGGACCTTTTTGGAAAGAAGCAATCCAAAGTGAGAGAGAATCTATTTTACAGAATCACACTTGGGAATTGGTGGATCTTCCTCCTGGTTGTAAGTCTTTAGGGTCCAAATGGATCTTTAAAAAGAAAATGAAACTCGATGGCACTATTGACAAGCACTGTTTTAAAAAACCTCGGTCTAGTCCGTTTAGGTGTACGCCTAGACCTAGGCGGTACCTAGGTCGCCTAACTAGCACCTAGCGCCTAGTGCCTAGACGGTATTTAGGCTGCCCACCTAAATTTTACGAGCGTTTAGGGAAACACTGTCTGCTTACGTAGATTACACCCTGTAGGCCTTAATTGTGATTTTATGTGTCGTAGTCTACACGTCCTCCAAACTCTATTAACCTCCAAATATGAACATCTCCACTACCTCATCCGACCTTCAGTAAAACTTTATCGACCACCACTTAAATGAAGAAAGAAAAAAACGTCCAGAAACCGCTTAGGCGCCCGCCTAGGCGACTAGGCATTGGGCGTCAAGTTCGGCGCCTAGAAGCGCCCAGCGTTTAATGTAACATTGTTGACAAGTATAAAGTCAGGCTTGTAATCAAAGGATACAAGCAACAAGAAGGCTTAGATTATTTTGATACTTATTCTCCTGTGACGAGAATAAATTCCATTAGAATGATTCTTGCAATCGCTGCATTGAGGAATCTAGAAGTACGTCAAATGGATGTAAAGACAACTTTCTTAAATGAGGATTTAGATGAAGAAATCTACATGGAACCCGAGGGCTTTGTAGTTCCTAGGAAGGAAAAGAAAGTCCCTAAATTGGTTAAATCGTTATATGGTCTAAAACAAGCCACAAAGAAGTGGCATGAAAAGTTTGATCATACAATGATTATCAACGGATATATAATCAACGAATGTGACAAATGTGTCTACACTAAGGAAACAGAAAAAGGATATGTCATTCTATGTCTTTACGTTGATGACATACTTATTGTTGGTAGTGATGAAAAAATGATAAAATCTACTAAGAACATGTTAAACTCTAAATTTGACATTAAAGATATAAGACTTGCTGATGTTATTTTAGGAATTAAAATCATGAGAACATCACAATGCCTTATTTTGAATCAGTCTCATTATGTGGACAAAATCCTTGAAAACTTTAACAAGGATGACAGTGGAGTTGCCAAAACGCCATTAGACATTAGTCTTCATCTAGCTAAGAATAGAGGAGAGGGTGTTTCCTAAATAGAATACTCAAGAATTATTGAAAGTCTAATGTATCTAATGAGTTATACAAGACCTGATATAGCTTATACGGTTAGTAAACTCAGCAGATTTACAAGTAATCCAAGTACTGATCGTTGGAAAGCAATCGTAAGAGTACTGAGATACTTACGATACACTTGGAATTATGGGTTGCATTATACAAGATATCCTGCAGTCCTAAAAGGATACAGTGATGCAAATTGGATTTTTGATATAAAAGACACAAAATCCACAAGTGGATATGTGTTTACATTAGCTGGAGCTGTTATATCCTGAAAGTCCTCGAAACAAACAGTTATAGTCAGATCCACTATGGAATCTGAATTTATAGCTTTGGATAAATGTAGAGAAGAAGCTGAATGGTTACGCCATTTCTTAGATGACATTCCAAAATGGGAGAAACATGTGCCTCTAATTTATATTTATTGTGATAGTTAGTCTGCAATTGGAAGAGCACAGAGTAATATGTATAATGGTAAGTCTAGACATATACGTCATAGACATGATACCATTAGACATATACTCTCAACTGGAGTTATCACTATTGATTATGTGAGATCAAAAGATAACTTAGCGGATCCAAACCAAAGGGTTAAACAGAGATTTAGTTGAGAAGTTGGTTGGCTAAAGGAATGAGACTAAAGCCAATGGGTAAATAAGTTCTTGTAAAGGAAACCCAACATAGTTGACTGGAGATCCCAAGATCTAGGTTCAAAGGGACAACCTAGTTATAAGGACTTGATGTAGTCACTGTAGGGGATAACCCTAACCTATTCCTATAATGAAACAGTGATGTGAAGTGATTAGACTAGCAATGTGTTGCTTTAATGATTCTTAAGTTGAGACTTAAGCAATTCACCTATGTAAGAGTGAAGTGGGGCCGCTTCAATAGAGAATTGTAATGACTTAATTCTCTGAAACTCTCGCAGAACCAGGTAGATGTTCATGGCCAAAAACGAACAAAATCATGAGAACCAAATAATAAGAGATTGATATCTGTTGTGAAATTTATGGCTCTTTACAATAGATGTTGGGACAGTTTAAGGACATCATGTCTACTAGAAAGCTAGTAAAGTGTATTTCACAAGGAAATGTTCAAAGGGTAACACGTACATATCCTATGCAGGTGTCAGTCACTGAACACAATTATCGAGTCAAACAAATCAATTTTTCATTAATGTGGGGGATTGTTGGAAAAGAGTCTGTTGGAGGTGAATGAAAATTGTCTCCCAAAGCACAAGTGAAGTCCAGCCCAATGGTGTTAGAAGCACTCAAGCACATGTGTGCAAAAGAATGAAAAACAAGTTTTAGGCCTAATCCATTAGAGGTTTAGACTTGGTCATTTGTTTCTGAACGTGCTGGAGAAAGATCAGCAGGGAGTTGCTGGATTTTTCAAACTCAGTCGGTTATTTGTTGAACATGCTTGAGTTTTTACGGGAGAAAAATTAGCAAGTTGCTAAATTTTCAAATTCAGGCTCCATGCTAATTTCCAACAATACCCTTGTTTTAGCCTATAAATAGGAAGTCTCCCCTTCTATTTCAAATACACCGAAAATCATAAACTTTCTTTCTTTTCTTTCTTTGCATTCTTTTGAGTGTTTTCTTCTCAAGTTTGATTCGACGTTGCGGAGAAGTTATGCTGCTTACTTCGCTTTGGCTTGTTGTATCCTGGGAGGCAGTTCTGACGCATTCCTCGAGCACCCCGAAGGTTGGAAATATACTTTAAGGAGACTGTCATTGAGACGCCTCAAGCTTCCATCTAGTTTAGTTTCTTTCTTGTCTCAATTTTTGCCTTACTATCCTATTAAATTGAACTTGCCCTTTTAATTTGCTTTCTCTATTTATTTCTTTTTCTTAACCCTTTATGCTATATGGATAATATGTATCTTTCCTGAAATTCCTTTTAATGTCTCTGTCGTATGTCTTGTTTTTAATCCTTATTTTGTATGTTATAGTATTCTAGCTAATATCAAACTTTTGTAGGCTTTGTACGTTGTAATATTATTGAGTCATATTTCCTTTGTAAGGATAGTCCTGGACCTTTATCTGTGCTTGCGTTGTTAACCATATATATATCTTTGTTGTTGTCATACATTTTTAGTAACGTTTGATTTTTGCACGGTTGATGTCAACATTAATTTTATAATCATGGTGAAATATTATTCCTTTGTGTGATATATTTTCTTGTATTTTTTTAGTAATAATTTCTAATCCCGGTCATTTTTCAACATTTGGAGGGTAACAAAAGACACGTGTCGTAGCCTAATGATTTATTCTCTCTCTATTCATCCACTACACCTCTCCAGTTATCTATCTCCTTCCGTCTAATGTCCCTAAATTTCTTCACTTTCTTCTCAAGAAACCGAATTCTCCTTTACCGCGGCAATTACTCAAATGATGTCCGATTACAAGTTTCTAAAGAACAGGAACCGTAGCTACTGTAATCCACAAGTTACATATCTCGCATCTGCGTTCTGTAGCCTTAATACAATAAAATTTACAACTTTTGAACTATATTTCATCAGTTATATTGAATACTCTTCTCCACCGTTTCAACATTTCTTCGTCTACCCATTAACTATCTTCTTCCTTGCATTCTCTCTCTCTCTCTCTCTCTCTCTCTCTCTCTCTAGTTTATTCTCTGCCTCGTTCTCATTCGTTCTCATCTAAGTTCTCCACTCCTTTGGTCACGCCTGATTTCCTCTTCTCTCCCTTTGGTCACGCCTGCTATTCCCTCTCTCTCTCTCTCTCTCCCCCCTCCCTCCTCTCTCATGTCAGAATTGTTCTCCCCATCGTTGTGGGGCCCGTACTGTCTTTTTTCTCTCTCTTTCTCTCTCTCTCTCTCTCTCTCTCTCTCTCTCTCTCTCTCTCTCTCTCTCTCTCTCTCTCTCTCTCTCTCTCTCTCTCTCTCTCCCACTTTCTTCTTTCTTTTAAAAGGTATTACTACTTTATGGTGTTATTTGTCTAATAGTTAATGTCAACAAAATCCAATTCCGATTCCTACCAATAGAAAACTTTGTATGAACTCATTAAGGGAGTACCTGCGTAGCAAGGACGCCATTAATCTGGCTGGCAATCCCTTGCAGAGCCCTCCAGAGAGAGTACTCAAGATAGTCACTGCTGACACTATTGGGATACCCTTCAGGAAGCATCAAGCTCAAGAACACACCCCTGCACCGCCTCCAACAAGATTCCAATCCGTTCACAAGCTCTTCGCCATCGCCCGCGCGATTACAAAGGAATCAGCAGAGCATCGCGGGGGGGACAGCCTGTCCAATGGCCTCCTCTGACCTCCAGCACTCCATTACTCTAGGGCACGAGCAAGGCGGACTCGTCAAGGAGGAGGAGAAAGGCGAAGAAAGGAAGATAGTTCCACCAGCCGCCGGGTTCGAACTCGAAGGGGTCATCGCCAGACCACCACCGCCGCCAACCTCCACCTCTTCGGTTGTTTCCGCAGCCGCCGCGCCGCCGTTGTTGTTGGTGTTGTTGTCGCCGCTGTTGTAATTGGGAAGGGAGGGGGAATTTGGGAAATTAGGGTTAGACGAGGATAAGGAGAGCGAGGGGTTTTGCTGGGGTTTACAGGAAATTGAATTGAAGCTAAAACTGCGAGAAGAGAAACAGGGAAGAGGACTAGAAGTAGGGGGATATAGAGGCCGCCACGGTGGCGCGAGGAAATGCTGGTGTTGCCCAAAGCCTGATAACAAGCAGCCGATGCTCATCGGTAACCTCGCCGCCAACCCCCTCTCTCTCCCCCTCCTCGCTCAAATAAGTTTGGGCAAACTTTGTAAATTTGGGTCACGTGTGAAGCTGACCCAATTTTGTATTGCTTCTTGTTTGTCAAAATAGTATCACTAAACTAGTTTTGTTTTGAATCACTAAACTAGTTTTGTTTTGAATCATGAGAGTCTGGTCCAAAACAAAACTAGTTTAGCGCAAAACGTCCTGACCTAGTTTTGCTTACATTTACCAAACTGACCCTCTGGATATTATAATATAAATGAAATTATTATATAATATGAATTACCGATTGCTAAATGCCTAAATCATGCATTCAGGTACTCTAGTATAGTTGACAAACATTCCTTTAGACTTCCATTTCTGTTGAGAAAAAGTAAGGGCACATTCTCACCATGGACCTGTTAGTTTCGCCAACCACCAAAATAAGAAATGTTTGTCAACTTCTATTCAAGCAAGAATCTCATTGTCAGTGGTACTCTATAAAATTTCACGTGTTAGAAAATTAGGCAAACGATTATCTTGTTCACGTATATAATCAATTTTAAATTGTTACATTGCTCCCTCAGCTTTCCATCTGGCAAAAGTTTGTTTAGGAACAATGTTTTTAACATCCTTTTCTAAAACTATTTTAACAGAACTGTAATCTATTTTTAATAAAAATTGCACATGGTAACCTTTTAACATTTAAACCACTATACATTAGCTAGATGTGCACATGGTAACCTTTTAACATTTAATTTAATTTTACGGACAGCAGAACTGTGTTGATCTATCCAAGGAGAAGCATTCTTTCTCAATCTACTATATAAAATAGCAGTGTCATGTGCAAGATTATGATAATAATCTGCTACATAATTCAATGCACCAAGAAACCATTGTAATTTTTTGGTGTCTGTAATTATGTCTGGAAATTTCGAGGCAAATTCAACGCTTTGTTCAATAGGGTTTGTGAATATTATGACTCAAGAATCTAATTTGAGTTTGAAATAATTTTATTTTTGGGACTGATATAGCTAACCCATTCTGTATTGCTAAATTACAAAATATTTTTAAATGTTTAACATGCTGATCAAAAGTATGAGAAAATATCACAATATGATCTATGTATGACAAAATGAAATCGGTGTGGGGAATGAGTATTTCATTAATGATATTCTAAAATTTAGAAGGGGCGTTTTTAAGTCCGAATGGCATTATATTCCATTCAAAATATCCACATGGAATAACAAATGCAGTTTTATAACGATCTTTTTCTTCTATTTGTATTTGGTAATATCCTGACTTAAGATCAAATTTAGAAAAGATCTTTGCATTATTAATGTGATTTAATAAATCTCTTTTGTTTGGAATATGATACCTAATCCACTTCAAAATCGTATTTAAAGGTTTATAATTGATAACAAGATGAGGGATTCCTCTCTCTTGTTCTGCTTGGTTATTAACATAGAAATTGTGCAGCTCCAAGAAGAATATGATTTCCTTATAAGTTTCTTCTCAAGTAAGGAAGTTATTTCCTTTTTACAAAGATCAAGATATTCTTGATTCATTTTGCATGGCTTAGATTTGGTAGGAATGTCTTTTTCTTTGAAGTCCTCTTCATAAGGTAGAGAAACAATATGTTGTTTTCTATCCTAGAATGCATTAGGGACATTACTACAAACTATTTTATTAAAATGATCTTCTATTTGAGTTATTAACTCTTTTTTCTTTTTTATTTGTTCTTCTACTTGAACAAATGCTACTTCTTCTTTAAGAAAGTTTATCCGTTTTTCTTTAAGAAGAACATTTTTTATTTCGTTTAATAAACGAGTTTGGGGTCAGTTATAAACTCAAATAAGATTTTATTGTTATTATAACTGGCTTGAATTCATTGTGAATCAATTTTCTGCATAGGCATAATATTATGCAGAAATGGGGTACCCAATATGATGTGTTGTGATAAGTTTTTCACAAGAACGCAAGGAATTGGGATACTTGTGTCTGGTACACAAATATGTGCAGAAGGTAATTTAAAATTAACATCAAGTTTGTCAACATTCGCACTACTCAGGGTTTGTGTAGTGGTTTCAAAGAATTTTGAAGGTACAATACTTTCACGGATGCAGTTAAGATCTGCACCGCTATCAACCAAAGTTATGAGGTCTGCTATAAAAACTTGTTTTGCTATGACCAAAGTTACATTGATGTACTATTTCTGAGATATTACTTGTTGTAATATATTCAGAAATTCATCCTTTTGAGATGATTCTGGAACATCCTCATCTTTATTAGAGATTCTTGGTGAATTATGTTGAGAAGAGACTATTGAGGCCTTGTTTTCTCTAAGGTCTTCTTCACTAAGTTTTGAGAGAATATATTGATTCTCTTGTTTTAGAAGTTTTACTCCTTGCTTTAAGGTTTGAATCTCTTTGTTGAGATCAGAAAGAGATAATACCTTAGAAGTATTATTTTGTCTTCTTTTGATGACTTTCGACATTCTATAGACATTGACAATATTAGGTTTTTATTTGACCTGTTTATTTTTATCTATACAGAGATCGAGAAGTCTCCTTTTTAATTCTGGAGATTTTTCTTTAGAAAGTATCTTTGAGATTAGCTCTTCGTTTGAAGTAATAACATTCAAAGATAGTCCATTCATGTCGACTATGGCTTTCCATTAGTCTGACTTATCCTTAGTTTGACAGTTGTTAACTATAAAGTGGTAAAGTTCTTCATCTTCAGAAGAAGATGAATAGTATTCATCATTCGTTTTAACAGTATCACTATTAATCATTATTTTATACAAAGTCTTTTTAAGATCTTTATCTTCAATTTCATTGATTTTTTTCATTGTATAACATTTGCTGGCATAAGGACCAGTTTTATCGCATTTGTAATATTTAATGTTACTAATATCATTCTTAGGATTTCTAGGACGGTCATCTATGTCCTTCTTTTTAAAGAACTTTTTCTTTTTCTTTTTGAAAGAATGTTTCTTTCTACCATCAGATTCTCTTTTGGTTTGTTTCAATTTATTAGTCTTATAAGGCTAATCAAAACCAAACTGCTGACAGAATTCCCCTAATTCCTTTTTCTTTGTAAGTCTATAAGACTTAAGCTGGTTTTTAAGCTTTATATCATTACATAAAGCTAAGCCTTCTTTAATACAGGCATTGATAAGAGTTCCACAAAAAAATGAGTCATATGGAATGAATCTACCATAATTTCCTTTGAGTTGATTTCGAACTACGACGCCCTGAGTTCATACAAGGCTACAGTCCAAAGAGAATTCAAGGATGTTAAACCTGCCATGCACTAACATCGTGCAACAATACGTTTCACCATCACAGTTACTATCTCTCTAGTGGAATCAAACAATAGGTGTAGGTACAAAACATGCAAATGAAGATAATAATATACTGAACATGATAAATAAAGAAAAGATGTCCTAATGATGATATTATGTCCCAACTAAATAAAATGAAATACAACTGATAATGGTCCAAATGTGAAATATCCCAATACATAGAGTCAAATGAAATACTACTAAGGCACTCAGCCTTTACAAAATAAAACACAAACTCTAAATGTTTGAACAATGAACACTAACTACTATGGAGCATGAAATAAATTACTAAATATAATATAAGATGGAATCTAATGAGCATCTCCATCAACCTGCAACTCTCCGTGCGCCTGACTCGCTGCCTGAAAAGTGGGGAAACAACGAGCATCAAAGCGCTAGCGAAATCATCACCACCGCTCCCCGGGGGAAGGGGTAGGATTAAATAAGAAAATACAAGTTAGTACATATAAATATATAAATCATCTATCCTGAACTAAGCGAAAATTGATATTTAGAGATCTACAATACGAGAATGAGTACGTTAAGCGAAATAATCCAAACAAGAAAACCCTCATGTATTTACCTTGTATATCAAATTGTAGATAACTAAATATTAATATCAAACTAAGAATAAATAATCTAAATAGAATTAATAATTAGAAACTCACAACACGAAACTGGTACGTCGAGCGAAATAATCCAAATAAGGAAACCCTCATGTATATACCATATGACTCAAATTGTGAATCGCTAATTATCAATTCCAAATTAGGAATAAAGGAAAGCAACAAACAAAAAAAATACTACAACCCAAAACCTCAATCATAATAAGTCATGTCAAAATCTCAGACTACCATCGGGTAGTTGGCGCAGTCATAAGGAATAACTATCTGATACAATCATCTTACGTAGAACAAACCATGTATGCCAATCTTAGTGTAATGCCCTACTCTTGGGTAATAATATGGAAGAATGGATGCAAACTGTATGAATATCTACATGAAATAACGATACTATTGTAAGGCTATCACAATATCTTATGTTCCCACCTTACTCAATCGCTCTACGGAGATAGGTAAATCACTATATTCCGGAATGATGCATAACAGATGATTGCCCGCTAGAGTATAGGCATACTAGCCTAACCCGGGACCTACGATCACCCTAGAGTGTGGTCCATCTGCAGTCTCAT